GGATTATTTTATTTATTTACTTACTTATTTATTGTTTTTAGCTGAGCCATCCTGCCACCTGTTGGCAGCTCAGTGGCAGCTCAGCTCAGGCCGGGAATCGAACCGGCGACCCTGTTGCTCAGAGCTCGCACTCTTGAGCGAGCTTGGCCCTCCAGCTTGGGATCTTTTAAAAATATGTGTAATTCACTAGTACATGATCAGATATTTTAAAGTACTTTTCTGTATGTATTTAATTTGAATGTTCTCTTTGTTTTTCTCCCCATTCTCTGTGATAAAACTAACGATCTCCTTTGGATTTCTGTTCTGTTTCTTAAGGAATAAGTCAGCAACCTGACCCAGGCTTTGCTGGGGCCACCACTCCCCAGAGCCCCCTGATGTCGCCCAGAATGGCGCATACACAGAGCCCCATGATGCAGCAGTCTCAGGCCAACCCAGCCTATCAGGCCTCCTCTGACATGAATGGATGGGCGCAAGGGAATATGGGTGGAAACAGGTGCGTTGCATTTCTGTGTCTTTTTTGATAGAAATGATCACCAGGGAATCTCTGTAGACCACAAGCCTCCTTTCTATAGTTTTGTTAACTTCTTTGCTCAAGCGAGCAATAGCGAGTAAACTGCTGAGGAAGCCAGTTTACTTTTCCTAGGGCAGAGGTTACCAGAATTTACAAAAGCTTAGCATGATACCTTTTCCTTGGGAGTAAAAGGAACTCCCCTAAGAAGGTACCAGCCCACCAATTCATGATCAAAACTGCTGAGGAAGGCAGTACCCTAGAAGACATCCTTTATATCGGCCTGTGTAATAAAAGCAAACAAACAGAAAGCTTGTCCAGCAGAGACATGAAAGCGGAAAATACGCTCCTGACCTTCATGGGCCATGTGGTCGCCCCTGCAGCTGCAGTGGGCACTTGCCCTGCTGTTTGATCTCCCCACCCGCTGGCTGTCCCACCCTGGGTTCTCTCGGCCTAGATTCACTCAGTCTGAAGTGAATGCCTGAGAAACAAGTGCTCCAAACTGCCTGCCTCTTGGCCCGTAGGCTCTAACATTTTCATCTTCCTTACATTCCAGCATGTTTTCACAACAGTCCCCACCACACTTTGGGCAACAAGCCAACACCAGCATGTACAATAACAACATGAACATCAATGTATCCATGGCAACCAGCACAGGTGGGATGAGCAGCATGAACCAGATGACAGGACAGATCAGCATGACCTCAGCGACCTCCGTGCCTCCGTCCGGGCTGGCCTCCATGGGCCCCGAGCAGGTGAGCCCGGGAGCCCATGTCCTCAGGCCGTGCTCCATCTGCTTGTGCTCTGCATATGTCTCCCATGGACTCAACATCTGCTGTCAACACCCACCTTCATTTTGAAGTGTTTTTTTTTTTTTTTCACCTTATTTTCACCAGTGTTCGTGCGACTAACAGGAATACTTGTTGATGAAATACACATGAAAGGATTCCTGACTGCTCAGGATTGTTAAAATCTTTCTTAACTTTCTTGTCATTTAATTTTTTTCTCTTATTTGAAGAATTTGGCAATATCTAAAGTGAATCTCTAAACATGGAGTGGTCAGTGTGCTTTAAATAGCTTTGTTTTGGATTTGTAGTGTAAGACTGATTTTTTTCCCTAAATGTAAAACCAGATGAATCACAAAGGCCCAACTTCCTGCCACCCACTTAGCTTTAAATGATGCTTCATCGTGCGGGGAGACTGACAGACATAACCCAAAAACTGCTCTCTCTCATCTTTGGAGAGTGGGTGCCATGATTTTTTTTTTTTTTTTTGTCAATATTTTCATTACTACTTCTGTTTTGTGTTGAATGACACTGAAACGATTCTACCATCCCCAAGGTCACACCAGCTTCCCTGGTGGGAAAGAAACTCAAAGCATCTGATATCTCAGGTGACCAGTCTCGGACCCAGAAATCTGCAGTGGGCTGATCCACAGGCAGGGATACTGGTGAATAACTCATAAAGGGTATTCACAGAAGATCTTTTTTTTTTTTTTTTTAAAATGATTTTTTTTGGGGGGGGGGAGGAATTGGGGGATAGGAACAGTGTTGGGGAATTGGAGGAAGGGGAACAGACAAGTTGCTGTTTTGTTCTTCAGTCTAGTTGTGGAGGATGTTGCTTCACTGGCCCAAGTTGGCACCATCATTGCGCTCTTCCCGGGCGAGGCAGATCAGTCGCCGGCTTCTGGACGGCCGCTCACTGCGGCTGCTGGCCGCTCACGCTGGCTGCTGGCTACACACGGTAGCCCATGGCAACCCACTGCCACAGGGGCTGCAGCCTCCGCCGTCGCTGGCGCCTCATGGCAGTGTCACTAAGCCCTCATATGTGGGATCCGAACCAGGGCCCTCTGGCATCCCAAGCCAGTTCTTAACCATCGCGCCACTCGGCCGGCCCAGAAGATCTTATTTTTAAAGGGCACAAAATGCTTGGCACTCTCCTCTCTCAGTAGTTCATTCAGAGTATAGATGTGGCAAGGACCTGGCATCTTATTTTATATGTGGAGAAACTGAGGCATGGTACGTTTAAATGACTTAACCAGCAAGCCATTGACAGCACTGAGCGTCAGTTAGATCACTGTGGTGAGAATGGTGAAAGATTTAATTCTGATGTTGGTAAAGCACAATTTGCGTGAAAATTGACTGAATTTTACAGCATCTCAGTGTTCTGTTCTATAAAAGGTGTTATTAAAAACGCAGAATGTCCTCCACAACTAGAGTGAAGAACAAAACGACAGCAACTTATCTGTTTCCCTTCCCCCAATTCCCCAGCATTGTTCCCATCCCCCCAGTTCCCCAATAGAAAAAAACAAAAAAACGCAGAATGGTGCAGGAGAGCATTGAAAGCCCTTTGCAAGGTAAGAAAGCCCTGTGCATGTGTGTGATAATAATTTGTCCTTCTGTAGTTGAACTGATGGTGGCTAAATGCTTCTTTATTTGGGTAACTTAAACAGACATTAATGAAAGAAACAGATTTTTATCTTTTCAGTGGAAAAAATGCAGTGTTGACGCTGAATTTTCTACAAAAATGCTCCACTGGTGGTTCTTGATTTGCTTTCTAGGGTGGCCTTGTCTAGCCTGGGTCCCAGTCAGCCTACCCAGAAGTAAATTTGAGCATTTTATTTTTAATTAATTTCAGGTGTACAAAGCAACATAATAGTTAGGCATTTACACCCCTCACAAAGTGATAACCTCCCCCGTCCCCCATCCCCCCAATTGGAGCATTTTTAATAATCTGCGTTGCTTTGAAACTTTTGCATGGATGTAAACCTTTTGAATATCAGAAGCCGAAAAAGAGCACACATGCAGTGTTTATCTTCTGACAAAATCAATCCCATATTAGATTGTATATGCTCTTTATAATTTGTAAAAAAAAAAATGTACGAATGCTAATGAATCGTTCACTTAGTCTTAGAATATCCACAGACCCAGTGCTGTTTGTTTACTCACACTGGCTCTTGCAAATCATAACTCACCTGAGTAACAAAGATATTAGGAGCTACTCAGATGGCTTCAGAGTCCCCAGCAGGAGTTACCGGTCTAATCTGAACCAGCCAAAAAAGTGAACATGTGGCATGAAAATGTTTCTAGTAAAATTTAATTTGAAGGCAGCTAGTGTATTAAGTATTTATTTTCCTGGTCCTCCATCCTCTCCCCAAAGTATATACAGCAGAGAAGAGACTGAGGGATGCAGGCATTTTTACGTAGTCATCTTTCCCCGTTATTCTACTCCTAAAACAAAGAGGAAGAAGGTTGGTGGTTGGTTGTTTTCTAGCACACTTTTGGACATCCCGCTAAAATCCTGCCTGTCTTGTCACCTTCAGGTTAATGACCCTGCTCTGAGGGGAGGCAGCCTTTTCCCAAACCAGCTGCCTGGAATGGACATGATTAAGCAGGAGGGAGACACATCACGGGTAAGAAACAGCAGAGAAATATGTTAATAGGGTAGTAAAGTAACATGAATATATTGTAGACCAAAATTGGCAGTTTGTCAACCATTAGATTGAAGATAATTGTAACACTTGTGATTTTTAAAAATATCTTCTGATTTTATCTGACATACAGTGGTGTTGTGTGAATAATTATGTCTTTAAGCTGATTTTAATTAGCCGATGGTGGCATATGAATTAAGAACACTAATTTTGCCCTGGAATGATATTATTACAGCAAACCATAACGTAAAGTAGCAATGAAATTAGTCATGTTAGGCTGTGTTTATTCTTTCTAGGTGTTTGTCTATATTTCATTTTGTTTAGGCAGCAATTTTGTATATTATCTACTTATTACCTTAAACACTTGTTGGTCTAAGGAGACTAGTATTGCAATCTCAAAACAGTAGAATAATTGGTACTTAGAACCATCTAACTGTGTGCCGAGCAGCAGGTCCTTTACGAGAAGGCTCTGAGAGCCATTTGGCCTGTGGGGCCCTCTCAAGGAAAAGGATATAATCCCTTCCCTAAAATGTAGGATTCATGGTAAATTTCCTACCAAAAAAGTGGACCTTGAATGGCTTTGTTGATAATTACCGTTCAGTTTTAAAAATTAACAGCATACATTTGATCCAGATTTTAATAACATAGTGTGCGAATTTTCTCTGTGTGGCTTCTCGTGTTTAGCGAGCCACAGTCACACATGGCAGAGGGGCCGTGGGTCAGGTCCTGTGTCTGTATTGGACCCAGATGCACAACTCATCTAAATGGTTAACATACTGATATTGTAAGTCAAATAGAAAGTAGAATCTCTTTCATATTGACCATGTATCTAGACTCTGCTTATCAGTTGAGGTTTGAAGCCCCCTCAAGGGGCTGGCACCTCCCCAGATGCCAACCCTGGTCTCCCCTCCCACTGCATCGCTACACGTAGTGGCCACGTAACTCAGTGATGGCTTATGTGCAGAAAGTAGGAGCTTGAAACCTGGGATTCGCTTCCCAGAGGAACGATGACATTAATGATAACGAGGCTTGCACAGAGGGCAGCCCATTTTAACCCAGAAGTGCCAGGGAGCGTAACCTCTGAGCACATCATATCTTTGTGGAGGGGGAATGCATTTGGGAGGCCTGGATCACATTTCCCTCCCTGAGTCCGCCATGATGGGGGCAGACCTCCCTCCCTCATCCTTGGGTGGGACTGTGTGCCGGCCTGAACCGGGGCTGCAGCAGAGCCGGCCACTGGGAGGCCACTTGGTCGGGTCAGGCCCACCGCCCAGTCTTCCAGGAGCCCCAGAAATCGACTTACCTTAGAGCCTTCTGCTGCCGTGTGATCTCCAAGGAAAGACAGAATACTCGGGTGGTCACGTCGTCATCTTTTTAAAAAATTACAGAAACAACCAACGTGCATTGAGCATTCACTGCAATCCTAGTTCTCGGCTATGAGCTTTATTTGAATTTCCTCATGTAAACCAACCACAACAGGATGGTGGAACCACCGTTTTGAGGGTGAACCACCTTGCCCCAAGTCCTCCCTCAAGTGTGCAATCTCAGCCCTTAGATTTTACCGCCTACCTCCCCAAAGGGGACAACAGAGACTTGCGAGATTTTTCTAAGGGTTTTATGCAGGTAATGTTGGAGAAGGCCAAAAAGGAACAAATTATTTCCTCTTTTGGTGCCATTCTCTTCTCTTGATCGATCCCGAAAGGAAGAGAAAGATGAGAAAGATACTCCCAGAATTCAGCTCCATTAGGGAGCTTCCAGCCTTGGGTGTTGGGGGCGGAGCCTGTGACTTGAGGAAAAGGAACGTTCCTGGGGGCTCTGATGCCAAGCCCGCATCCATAGTTAGGCCTCCCGCCATTTTTAGAGGAGGAAACTGGATATCAGAGAATTAGGCAGCCTATTCGAGGTCGCACAGCGAGTAAGTGGTGGGATATGTCATAGGACAGGAGGAAGACCACCCCAAGCAGCAGCAGAAAGAGACAGGGGCCTCCCAATCTCTACTAATTCGGGCACAGTGGAGAAGTGAGCATTTGGGGGAGGGGGGTGCCGAGGTATTTACCTGCACGCACGTCCAGGTGCCTGATGGGGGCCCGCTAGAACTAAAGTGGGATGATCAGCGTTAGGATCACAAAAGGCAACTTCAGGAAATGTGGGACGTTGTCCCATCAAAGGTGCCTCCCGGGAGCCATGGTGAGTTTCTTCGCTGTTACCATCCAGCTGGCCATTTACACCCCTTTCACTTTATCTGTTTTTTCCAGTCCTCTTATACATCTGTACTTTGTTTATGCTGAATGTTCAGGCAGGAGAGCAGCCTGTCACAGACACTCCTGTTTCCTTCAGCGAATAATACATACAGTATATCCCTCCTGATCCATGTAACAACTGGCATCACTTTGCATTTGTAACCATACTACTGATGTGTTTCCAGAGAGGGGTTCGGTCGCCTTTGTCCCCGGTGTTTCTGTGATATGCTCTGCCACTGTTAAAAATCAAGGAACTTCTTCAGAATTTTTATTGGTAACCTGGCTCTATTTGTTGAGCTAGAAACCACGGTGATCCATTAATGAATCTGTTCCATTTATCTTGAAATAGAGGTTAAAACTGCACCTTGCTTAAGCAGATCTAGTGTATGCGACTATGGATTTACCAAAAAACTATTTGGAGAAGGGCAGTTATTTTATTGACCCAAAAGAACCTTCCTTTTACAGGACTTATTAAAGTACTCCTTTATAGTTTACGTATATTTAAACGTGCTAACATTGAATTAACTATTCAGCCTACTGGCTCTTTCATAAAGTACAGTCATTCAAATCGTCAACACACAGCAGCCTGAAACTGGCAAGAGTACCCAGAGTGAAAACCCCGGGGACTTTGCATGCCGAAGCCAGGAGGTCACGCCCCATGGGACCTTGGGAGGGTCTCAGTGAGGGAGAGGCAGGCGGGACGTTTTATAGGAAGTGAGTTTGCGCTGGGTGTTTTGGAGGAAGGCTGAAGGAAGTGGTAGCCATTCCTGGATGGGATGCTGTCGGAAGGCAGGGACAGTCAGACACCGCGAGTATGGGGAACCTTTTGAGAAGGTGGGAGAGATTAAACTGGGCTCGGATGTCACTGCTAAGAGAGCAGCTGTCATTCAGAGGGAGACATGGGTGATCCATTGCAGGGTGTGCCCTTTGTAACACTGTGTTCAGTTAGGATCGGTGCCATCTGCTTGTCGGCGTCCACGTCAAGTGTAACTCATCCAGACGCAGCTTTGTGGTTGGCGTGATTTAAAATGGCCGAATAATTGTGATGTTTTTGTGATGGGCTTTATGAGGTTTTCCCAAACACTCAGACGTTTTTTACAACTTCCTCTGTTCTCCTACAGAAATACTGCTGACACCGAAGGTGGCTGGTTGCGTCTTTCTTCAGCCGACTGGGCTCACTTGCTCAAAACACTTCCCCGTCTGGAGAGCTGCGTCTACTCGTTTTGACCCTACGACCTGCCGGCCAGTTCAGCCCGAGCAAGCTCCGCAGACGGGCCTGGGCCCTGGCTCGCAGAGGGAGCGGGCTGCTCGCAGGGGGAGCGGCCCCTCCTCTCGACAGCCTGAAGCTTGCGTCCAGACAGTTGCTCAGTCTGTTCACTGCATTCACCTTAGTGCAACTTAGATCTGTCCTGCGAAGTAAATGCTGACAGGCGAATTTCACACCCGTGTCAGATTGAATGTATTTAAATGTACGTATCTAAGGAAACGACCATGCTCTCGTTGTGTTCCTGTTTGGTTGCAGACACTGGTTTCTCGCTTTGTTCTCCCTGGCTAACCAGTCCAGTATAAAAGATTCAGATTTCATCCGAGGGAAAGAAAAAAGAGTTTAAAAAAAAAATTCAAACTACAGGTGTTTTAAGCTAAAGCCTGCGTTTGGGATAAAAAGCAGGCAGATACCATGGACAGCGCTGTACGGACAGACACCCAACCAGTGAAGACCAATAAAGTCACAGTTGTATCTTTATAGACAGCTCTCAAGACCAAGTTGGAAAGAGTTTCCAGTTACTGAACAGACGAAAAAGAGCCTGTGAGAGGGCTGTTAACGTTCACAAGTAACTTTTTCCTTTTTTTTTTTTTGTTTTTTTGTTTTTTTGTTTTTTCTTTTTTGTTAAAACCAGATTAGTTCATCTAAATCGTGAATCAAGACATACTTTTCATGTCCAAGCTAAGCTCTCTTTAGATTGACCCGACAGCTTGGATTTGCACGTCCACTTCCCCTCCTGGTCCTGGCCCTTCCCTCCCCCTCTCTGCCTTCCCCACCCAGTTCTGCCCACTTTCATTCATTTTTCTAAAAAAATAATAAAAGCAACAGAAACCAGGTAAACCCTTTAGTTCCTAAATGTTTTGCCAGCCACTTACCAATTGCTAACTATTAAATTTCAGAAGAAAAAAAAAATCTTTTTACTGGCAAGGAAAGGAGCAAAGTTAGGACTAGGGACCGATGACACCGCGGACACCTGCTTTAGAAGCCTGTTCGTTTGTTCCCCGACGACGCTGGCCTACAAGATTGAAAGTCACGGTGTGTTTCAAATCGACAGCAGATATCACGACAGATGTAACCTCCGCCCTGTGTTTTCTGTTCTGTTTTTTAGCAGTGCTGACCTAAGCCGAAGTTTTGTAAGGTACCTAAAATCCAATTTATATGTAAACAAGCAATAATTTAAGTTGAGAATTTACGCGTTTTAATTGTATAATTTTTGTGAGGTATACATATTGTGGAATTGACTCAAAAATGAGGTACTTCAGTATTAAATTAGATACCTTCATAGCAATGTCTCCTAAAGGTGTTTTGTAAAGGATATCAATGCCTTGATTAGACCTAATTTGTAGACTTAAGACTTTTTATTTTCTAAACCTTGTGATTCTGCTCATAAATCATTTATCTAATCTCTATGATATGCAGCCGCTGTAGGAACCAGTTCTTGATTTTTATATGTTTATATTCTTTCTTAATGAACCTTAGAAAGACTACCTGTTACTAAGCAGGCCACTTTTATGGTTGTTTTTCTTGCCCACTCTGGTTGGGGAATAATCTTTTATTAATCGGTGTAAGTTTCAGATGACTGCAGTACCAAGAAACTGATAACCTTTTTTGAGCTATTTCTCCCCAACTGCTAATACACATACTTTCTTACCTAAATTTCAGAATGATGTCTTTTTGATGTCAAAAAAGCAAAGCCTTTTATATCTCACTTAGCCAGGCTTTTTAGGAACAGAGAGGTTTTTCCTTGAAATTTGATCGTTTATTTGTGGCAGGGTGAAAAACAGACAAACTACCCCTATTTATATGCATATCTCTCCCTATATGTAGAAATTATGGATTATATAGAGAGAGATATAGCCCAAAGATAAATGGTAAGTAGACAGTGTGAAGGTGTTGTCCATACTAAAAAAAATTCATGGAAATTTGCATTTCGATCCTTTTTTCCACTTGAGAGGGGTCTCACTACAGGGAGGTGGCCAAGGAACAGCGCTTCTCGGCGGCCACCAGTTCACACGTCCCCCCTCGAAAGGCTCCACTTCTGTCAACCAAACCACTGGGTTGCCCCACTGTGACGGAGAAAACGAGCAGATGTCAGCCCAGAACTCCACAGCCCCGTCGGTAGGATGAGGTGTCACACACACACAATTTCACATGACCAGTTTTGAGTTGCTTTTTAGACATATGTGACTTAGAATGACTGTAAACTTCACACAGCACAACAGAGAAATGGGGTTTAAACTGGATTTGCTGTTTTGAGTTTTAAGTCTCTTCTCACCATAACATTGTCCAAAAACTTACCTGTGTGCTGTTTATTGTTTACCCATCTGCCCACTGTGTTGTAATGTCAGCCCCAAGTCAGACGCATCTGCGAACCCTCCATGCCAGTCATTTTTGAATGATTCATGATCATGCTGTTTTGAAGGAAAAGAGAGTGTAAATTCTCTTATGGCTCAGATCAGGGAATGGATTTTTGCTTTACATCTAATTAAGAGAAGAAGAGTAAGTGAAGGAACCTCCGATCATATTGATCACTGTCGAAGCAAAAGCCAAATCGATCCCTTCATTATCAGTATTCCTCATGCTGTGCGCAGTCAATTTGTTAGACCGAGTCCTTGGTTTTTGTTTAATAGAACAAAGAATCAGTGTTTTACTTATATGACTAAATGTGAAAAAACACATAATGTGAAAAGTATACATACATTAACTTGGTTGTAAGACTCATTTGAGTGTTCATGTAATGTGGTAAGTTGAAAAAGTGAAGTGAGCTGTTTTACTGCAATTAATTCGTTCGACTCAAAGATGAAAATGCCCCCTCCCACGTGTATCTCTTATGGCCTGTAATAATTGAAAGCAATGTTTTCGCAGTTTATATAATGCAATTTTTAATCTGTGTTCAAAAATGGAGTTCATATGGGCTTAACACATGAAATGGGTGGCACAGATCCACTTGTAGAACCCAAAGATACACAATCAATTTTGAAATGCAACTTAAGCCATTAATTGTTGGTGTAAATTTAAAATTTTCTAGTATTTGTATGGTAGTATGCTGCCTAAGAGCAAAGCATTCTCTGCACAAAAGAAAATTACTGTAGTGGCTTCAATTTTAATTAGAATTTTCTCCCTGGTGTTTCTTTATAGACTAAAACAAAATCTTTTAAGTTTCTTACTACAGGTAAAAGCTATGTGCAAGAACCTCAAAATGCTAAAATCTAGCATAATGCCTTAGATCTGTTTTTAAGTCTTGTATATTCCTACATAGCTGTCTGATGTATTATATTTGTATAGTGAATTGTGTACAATTTTTGAATAAGTGCATCATCACTTAACCTTTATGTAGTTGAGTAGTGATGATGACATATTTCTGCAAACATTTAACTGTCGTTTTTTTTTCCTTTGTCATTTGTGAGTTTTATTTGTACAGTTCCTCATGAAGTTGCATCTGAGATGTGTGTATATGAAAAGATTATACAAGGGTAAAATTAAGCAATATATTAACTATGGTTCTTCAGGAGAAAGCTTACAGTGTTTCAGGTTGTGATTTATTTTCAAAATGGAGTTGACGCTGAACATCACTTTGTTCACCTGCATTGATGTTTGTATTTCTAGTGTGAGCAGTTTATGCAAAGGTAGATATATTGAGAGAAATTTTAAATACATTTATGCAAGTTAATATTGCTTTGCTGATGCTCTTTGCTTATTTGATGTTAAATAATGCTATTGTAAATAAAGAATTCTGTTGTTATTGCATCATTTAATAAATTTTAATGCCTTCGGGTTTTACATGGCTTTGGAGATTGTGCTGTGTGTATATTGTATCTTCATTCATAAGTGCTTTTAAATTTAAAACACCTGACTTGTGATTTAGCAAGGTCTCACATTTATGCAGTAGTGGACACTGTACCCAGTGTTCTAACATTTGGTTCGCCCCGTGACCCACTTTATAGATTTTTAATTTGAAGCCAAGAGGGGTGAGTCTTGCTTAAGATGATCTAACAACTTGATGGCAAATTCAGGCCAAATCTAGGTCCACCGAGCCCTAGTGATGTTACTGCTCCTCTCACCAGACTGTGCCACCTGTTACCTCGTTTCTCCAAGGCATTTATGAGAATAGTGTGGACTCCTGACTGGCTTAAGCTCTTACATTACACATTTGAATATTCATGATCGTTTTAATAGGTGGATTTGTTAATAGTTGATAATGTAAGTACAATACCTAAAACCCAGGTCATAAACTATAAAGATGAAATACTAGTAAATACAATCTGGGATCATATTTTTAAAAGATACCAAAAACCAAATGAATGATGAGAAAACTATCAATGCCATTAACCATATTAACACGAAAGGAAGGGAAAAGAATATGATTAATAGATTCTGTTTCATGAATTCGCATAGGATAAATTTCAGCCCCCATTTCTGAGAAAATCTCAGAATAATAAAACCTCTAGGAAAGTAAATGTCCTAAAGCTTTTTGAGTTATCAGATAAGATGCAGCCCCACTGTGATACATCTTACTTAATGGTGAAATATTAAAAGTTAGAACAAAACAAAGAGGCCCACTGCCAGTGCCGGGAAATGGGGTGTTAGTACTGGAATAGAAGACATAAGACATTCAGCCAGTTTGACCATCTGTAGGGGAAACCCAAATGAATCAATTGACCGGCTCTTGGAATGAATAAAGTCAGATGGATAGAATACAAAAATATCAATCTCCTCTCTACACTAAAAAAACAATTTTTTTTTAAAGATTTTTATTGGGGAATTGGGGGAAGGGGAACAGTGCTGGGGAATTGGGGAAGGGGAACAGACAAGTTGCTGTCGTTTTGTTCTTCAGTCTAGTTGTGGAGGAC